TGAGGAAGCCAACCTTTCGTCTCTCCCGATTCCTTTTTTTTTTTTTTGTGTGTGTGTGTGTCTGTTTGTGCCCTTCCTAAGAGTTCCTGATTTGTCCATATCGTCCTTGTGCAGGAGCCTGACTGATCTTCTGTCAAATCGTCCATAGAGAGATGCGATCGAAAATCATTGAACTATGCCTTCTCGTTTCACCTGCAAGTTATAGGGAAGATCAATAATAGATAGAAGGATGGGAAGGGGATAGGATGGGGGATGGAGGGCTGGTGAACGGCAAGGCTGTGGCATGCAAAGGCCTCTCACACGGGTCCTGGGGGACCTGGCCTTTAATCTGAGGGCCCAGACTGGGTAACCCTCATGTTGGGCTCCTGGGGGCCATGGGACCATTTCTGGCCCTGGTATGTGCTTTTGGGCAGTACGAGTGTTTTTTTGTCCTTTTCAGCTGTGTTAATCCCCGGGCGGCCCAGCTGGGGAAAGGTCGCCCGGGTACCCTCCCGGGCGGCCCGGACCGGGCAGGGCCCGGGCAGGGTCCCGGGCGATCCCAGTGCATAATATTATAAAAAATAGAAAATTAAAAAAAATAAAAAAAGTCCGAAAAAAAAATATGTTGTGTAAAATTGCAATACAAACGACTTTTGGCTGAGGGCCACCTCGAAATTCCTCGTTAATTTCAAGATAAAAATAAATGAGAAAATATGAGTCCAGAATCCAGATGTAGCCACTGTTTATACCCCCCTCCCCCCCCTGGATGACCCATCACCAAAACCGAAGTTAAGACCAGATTCTGAATGCTTAGGCCAAGCACAGTCCTGACCTGCAGTCTTTTTTTTTTTTTGGGGGGGGGGGGGATCCTTGCCTGTTTTTTGACCCGTCTGGTTTTGCCGGGCGATCCCCCCTCTGCCCAACTGGCCCGGGCATACATGGCCGGGCGACGGCCCAACATAGCTTTTCAGGCTTTTCTTCTATTTTTTGTGTTCTTTATTTCTTTTGTGAGATTGTTGGCTGTTCTAATTTTGTCTGGGTTAGGACTGTGTCGTTTCGGAGTATTTTGGCTGTTCCTGGATTGGACTGGTCTGGGATGTGTTGTCTTGCACTTTGTGATTTCCCTGGTGCCTGTTCAGAGCATTGGAGTGGTGGTTCTGCACTTCTTGGCTGTTTTTAGGCCCAGTAGACTTTTGTCCACAGCTGGGATGGACCAGGTGTGTCCTGTAGCGGCCGGTTCAGCCCTCACTATTAGGACCAGCCCTGTTGCATCCTGTAGCAGCCGTTTTAGGCCCAGGCGACTAGACCAGGACTTGAGCCGGCATCGAGGACCATTGATCATGGGGTGGATGGGAGTCATCATGGGATGGCCCTAGATACAGGCTGGAGGCACATCCAATAGGCCCAGCGGTATATAGCCGGGCCAGTGCTTAGTTCATACAGAGACAGTTTATAGGGTTCAATTCGACACAACGCTGCTGGAGAGCAGTGCTAAAGTGAAGGAGCTTGAGGTAAGACTTGAGGTGAGAGTGGAGGTTGGCAGTGGCATTGGGCAGAGAAGCGCTAACCTGGGCACCATAGCTGGGAGAGTGTGTGCTGGCCGAGGCCGGACACCACTCTGCAATCTGCTGCAGCTCAGGGTGGTACCTTTCACTGATCAGGTATCTGTGTGTGTGTGTGTGTGTGTGTGTGTGTGTGTGTGTGTGTGTGTGTGTGTGTGTGTGTG